AATGTTAAAATGCATTTGTTGCCTTAGGTTGTGGAAGTAGTAAGCTAGAATGAAATCCAAATGAAATTTGCATATTTTGGGAGATACTACGTTTTAGATAATTTTGAATTACCAAATCAATTGACAAGCTCTATAGCACAAGCTCTTTCAACAGAATCTGAAAATGGTGACCTTGGTTTGAGGTAAACCAACAAATATCAATCCTTAAACAACAGTACAAACAACTTAATTGACACTTTGTATAGTACTCCATATGTGGTAATAGCACTTACTTTAATTTAAAATATAGGTACAGCCATACAGGTATTTACTTAAGACTTACAAATATTTTTTTGGCCTTTTAGAAGGATCTCAAAAGGCTTTTCAAACCCCTAGGTTAAGTAAAAACAGTTTCCAATAATATAATGTGAATTTGAACTGAATGTTGGAGTAGGGCATAATACACCTCAACAATTGAAATTGAGAGTGTAAATACATGGCCTTGCGAATATAATCTTATATCAAAATTATATCGATTTCGTTTAGAAATCACTTTTGTCATTACAACAAATTGGTGCTGCTGCAACAATAATAAAAATCTTCGTGCAGTTTGACAAAGAAATACATCTAGACAGTTGATGCCACTGTTCAAAAATAAAGCACAAAAGAGACGAAGAAAAGATAAGCAAACCTATGTTCCATCTCGAAAGCAAGCATCACCAAGACAGGGAGAAGCAACACAGATCCGATAGCTCAAATCCAGAATGAACATTTTCAAACTCCATCACACATCACAGACAACCATCAGCGAACCATCCAAGCAAAGGAAAAATATCCAGTCAACATAGACAGAAACGGACAGAAAACTGGTGCGAACCATCAGCGAACCATCCAACCACAAACGCTTATCAAACTGGTGCGAAATCAAAACATCCATATCACAAATCAAAATGGACAGAAAACTCACCTCACACTAGCAGCAGATCCGACCAAGAACCACAGCGACCTCCAGAGTGAACGAACGTCGAAGCTCATAAAGGAGATAAACCTCCCCCAACCGACGATCAGCGAAGCAGTCCTTCACATCCATAATACGCCGGCCGGATCCAACATCCCCTTCCGAGACGAAGGATGAGAGCCTACAACGGCCATAGCTTTCTCGACACCCCTCTTTATCGATGTGCGAAATGAAAAGAACACTAGGGCTACAAATCTGGCCGACACTTTAATTGGTTAGATTTGTATTTGTTATGTTCCAGCGGGCCACAATCTCTCTTGGACCTTGGACTACTTTGGATCACAGCCCATCTTAGCAGTAGCCTTCTTTCTCCTTTTTACTTATGGGGCTTGGTTTGAGACTAGCCCAACTTCATTATATCAACTCTACTTAATAGGAGCCTGTTTGATAATACTAAAATCGATTGAATTGGCTGATTTTGCTGAAATTAATGAAATTATGGTTGAAGTGGTTGTATTGCTAATTCTGCTAATTTATGAAAAAATTATATTTGAAGTATATATTTTTAATTACATAAAAAAAATTATATGAAAATAGCTAAAATGGTTCTCTACAGTAACTTCAGCAAATACAGTCAGAAATGTAACTCCAACCTTACTTTTTTCTTATTATTACACATTATATTATTACACAATTCAACGTAGAAATCAAAATTTAGGTGTTTGGTTAAAAAGTTGTCTGATAAGTCTGATAAGGCGAAAAACATGGTCACCAAACGGACTCTAAATTAGGTAAGTGTTCCCTGACACTTACCGCTCCTAAATAGGTGGTTTCTGGGTTTGAAAAAAAATCACCAAACACGTTTGGTCACCATGTTTTTCGCCTTATCAGACTTATCAGGAAACGTTTTCACCAAACACGTAAATTTTGGTCATATATATAGTAGATCAATGAGTTATTTACTAAGTATAAAATATCTCATTTTGGTCATTTTTGCTGTATTATTTATAAAACGAATACAAAGTACTTATAATTTTATTTTTACAAATTACTCCTTTTGTCCCACGAAATAATTTTCACTTTCTTTTTTGAGTTGTCCCAAAAAAATAGTTCTCATTTCCCTTTTTTAAAAAGTTTTGTGTGACTATCACTCATTTACTTTTTTCTTACTCAACCAAAACTATACATTTACTTTTTTCTTACTCAATATACCATGTTTTAGACATTGAAATTCATTCATTAGATCTCAAATGAGAAAATTACTAGAAGCGCAACTAAAAGAAGCGGTGATTAGTAAAATATCGCAAACAAAGATTTTATTTCTAAATGAATTGTTTTTGTGTGTACTGTGCGTGTTTTAATGCTACTTTTTATACCATTAATTTTATTACTATTATTCTTATAAATGTGTATCTGTGAATGTTTTAGTCACATAGAGATAAGTCTCCCCTTCATAAATAAATGTGGTCATTGATTATTAAAAAATTCGAAATCCAATATTCTCTCTAAAATTAAATCCAAATATTTATTTGATCTAGAAAATTGAAGCATGTTGATATTTCAGTATCCATGAAAGTTTCATATTTAGTTGATAAAACATACAATAGTATTATTTTCAATGACTTGTGTTAACTTTTGTCGTCAAGGGTTGTATGTTTCGATGTCAAGGGTTACAAGTCATGCAATTCTCAAAATCGTCATTCAAAATAATGATGATATAGTACGGGTGATGGAATTATGAATATCATTGTATAAAAACTATTGTATAAAATAGTCAATCGTATAAAAACTTAATTATATTATATTCTCATATATATCTTATGTGATAGTCTCGATTACGGTGCTTTGACCATGTGCATTGAAGACCAAGTGATGTACTATTACACGGGTTGAGAGTCCGTGTGGAGAATTGAAGATGCATTTGGCAGGAGAGGAGTGATGAAGAAGTCCCAACCTAGCGTGGATTAGAGAAGTCGGGATTGATGTGTTTCTTCTTGAATTGGATGAGAGCATGACTTTAGAGAGGGTCAAGTGAAGGGTGAGTATTCGTGTTATGGATTAATCTCTTATCATTTTTTCTCTCTTTATCTTCTTTATCTTTATTATGTTTTTTCCTGTGAGTCATTTCTCGCCGGAACCGTTCTGTGTGTGTGTGCAACGAGATCTTCACATGAAAAGTGAGAAGTGATGTAAGTCCATGATCACTTAAAATGGATGGAATAAATAAAAAATCGCGTTGGGAAATATTAAAACAAAATGTGCGATACTTAATAGCAAAAGTGCATATACGATATTTAAAGATGCACACATTTACTTCATTTAAAGGTTACATATCAATTTTTATAATTCTTATTTTATTTCGAGGCAAGGTGTACTTTTGTTTTAGCTAGATGCGCTTTTTTCCATACTCATAGACATTTCTCAATTTATTTTTTCATAAAAGTTCATATTATTTACACTTTTTCAACTGCATTTTTTGCTTTAAATGTAATCTGATCCACTTATTTTTTTTCATTTTAATGTCTAAAATTACTTCTTATTTTTTCATATATATAAGGACTACTCTGTATTTCAACCTTCCTATATATATATATATATATATATATATATATATATATATATATATATATATATATATATATATATATATATATATATATATATATATATATATATATATATAATCTTTTTATCTTATTTATCTTATCATTATTATTTATATCTTCTCTATTTTATCTAATCTTTGATGTTATATATATTTTTTATCATACTTTATCTTCTTATCTTTCTCTTCATTTTACTCAGATATCATCTACTGATTCATATAAACGGTCATAAAAAAATCTAGCTAATGCTTGAATGTTATTATTGTATGTATGATTTTGTAATATTAGTATGCATACGGTCTCATTATTACATTTTATTTTTATATCATTATCATTTAGCTTTCTTACAATATGGATACATGTTAACATTAGATACTAATTATATTTTATATATCAATCCACGCACCATGCATCGCACGGGTGCTATACATCAAATTTACATATTACAATTTGTGTTCTTCGTGGCATAACCTATGATATTTAACTTTATAACCAATTAAATTTTATGTATCACGATGGTTTTATCCATCTTCAAACTCACCCACCGTGCAACGCACGGGTACAATACTCGTTATTATTAGAGACTGCTTGTTCATTTCTAGGAGATTTAAGTATTTCTCATTCATTGAGCTTTATTAGAGTTTATAAAGGTAAAAACAGCAAATAGTCTTCCCTAGAACAATGCCAGGTTTTAAGATACTCTGTATTCTGTAACATAAAACATTACCCAATTTGTTGCTTACTTTTTTATGGATTAAATAAATCACATAAAGTTACAACACATTTGAGGGAGTATATAAAATAGACGTAGTAAAACTTAGTGTTAATGTCACAGAGTAATGTTTAAAATACGAATCAGAAGCTTAAAATTAAAATACGAATCCAGCTAGTTTTTATACCTTTGACCAAAAATTCAAAAACAAATAGAAAATTCGTTTATATTTAAATGTTGAATGAAAAAAATACTCTTATTTAAAATATGTGCATTTTGCACTAATTTCGTCCAATTAAAAATTATTGCAGTTTATATTGCCGTTAATGCACAAAATTTATGCATGACTTTACTGCACATCTGGTAATAATCACTGCACTTTCCCTAAAATTAATTCTCTTCTTATTCAATTGAGGATTTTTTTTAAAAATTTAATAATTTTATTATTTTACGTTTATAAATATATTACATTTGATGATGATATCACTGCTTTGTGTTACTGCAATACTGGTCATAATTACTGCATAACAAAATTTCTTAATACATTCGTTCACTGCCATGTACAACATGTCTATTATGTATTGTCATATTCACTGTCATATTCAAGACTTATTGTCATATTCACTGCTAATGTTCAATGCACATGTTTAATGCCCATAAACCCTAAATTCAACAAACTTTAATTTCTTTTTTTTTGAGGAACAAACAAACTTTAATTATAAAAAATAGAAAATTAAGAAGAACCCTTTTCAATGCATTTCAAGCCGCCATTCTCTAATACCATTCCAATTCTCAATGCATTCCCATTTTCAACGTATTCCCAATTTTTCCCAAAGTTCTCTAATTCCGAAGCCTAGCTTTCAAATTCCATCTTCAAGACCAGCCTATCTGTCGTAAACGACGCTCCATCGACGCTCTGCAGTCACGATTGAAAAGAATAGGAGGGGCAGAAGTAGGGATAAGCGATCAAAAAAGAAGAGAAGAAGAAGTTATGGACGACCGCCGCCGCCGCCTTATAAGAGTGAGCTTTTCTCTTCGCGAAATCAGATTTGTGAAACTGGGCATCTTCTTGTGCTGGACGGTGGCCGGCGGGCGGTGCCTTGACACCCAGGTCGGGCGATTGTGCTCCCAGGCTAGAGATCGACCTTTGGAAGGCGGTGGCGGCGATGGACGATGGTTGGCAGCTAGAAGGCGGGCAGAGGTTCGACGGCTGCTGCTGCGTGGGTGAGTGGCGGAAGTTATACATGAGAGGGTGTAGTTAGGGTTGTAGAAAATGAGTAGAAGGTTAGGGTTTTATAGGTAAAAACTAATGTCGATAAAAATTAATTATTATTTATTAATTACGAATTTTAATTAAATATTATGAATTATAATATCATTTTGAGAAAAAAAACTAGTTAGGTCATATATTGAGAAAATCGTTGAGTTTTAGTCATACCTAAGGTAATTATTTCAAAATTAGATTCCACAAATATAATAGGGAGTAATGTAAACCAGAATGTAAGAAGGCCAATGTCATAGAGAACTAGAGAAGAAGTCAAGAAGGCCCGTTGAGCTGAAACCTTCAAAATGGACCATAGGAGGATGCTGATTTCTCAACCCTATCACATGGTTACATTCACATTTCATAATAATTTTACAGTTTACACGATTTAACTTTTAAATGGTAAGTTGTAACTGTGGAACTTGGAACTTCCTTTTAAGAGTCATTATATTCCTTTTCTTAGAGCATCTCCAATGGTAAAATGTGCACGGTGCACACGTGGCATGAGAAATAGCCACATAAATATTAGTAAATAAATTCTTTCTCTCCTTATTTGAATGATTTTATACAGTTTTGGTAAGTTTTTCTCCACACTGTCAAGGAGACCGTCTAGATGTTGACATTGTTGTTGACATTGCAGGGAAAAACTTATCAAAATTGTATAAAATCATTCAAATAAGGAGAGAAATAATTTATTTGCTAATATTTATGTGGCTATCACTCATGCCACATATCAACGTGGATAGTATAGCATTGCAAATGCTCTTATCATCTCAAATTTGAAATGGTTATAAGCCTGTTATCACCATCTATGCGCTTGTAATAAACCTGTTTTCTAAATCACCACAATTCCACAAAATTTAAAGGTTATACGGTGTATTTGTTTTCTCGACAACAGATTTACCTTTCATCTTGTGTACTATATATGCACGAATACACCCACCCAAGATAGAGAATGGAATTTATAAATTTAAAAAGTCCTTTGGTAAATAAAATGTAAGCAATTTAGTGTGATATAAATGACTTACAAGGATATGGTGCAGTGTGTGTACAACGTAACTCTAGAACCATTTCTAGAATTTCTATGGAGTAATTTGCAACCAATTGCTTCTCTGAAAAAACCTCTAGATTTGTGGTGCTTCTGAGTAAATGACACATCTCTACAATCTTATAAAGGTGAATGAAGGTAAAGATAGTTTGGGTATGAAAAATGTGTTGGTAGTAATCATAAGTTAATGTAAACTTGTACTTTGAGCTAAAACTATTGTACCTTAGTTTGCCAAGCACTTTAATACCGGGTGGACCCTCAAATCCCGTTAGTGGGAAACGTCAAATGCTACGGCACATCCGAAAATAATTTGTAGTAGTTGATGTTCAATTAATATCCAATACCCCGGCTCGTATTTCCTTGCTCTCATATTAGTTAATAGTTAGTGGTGGGATTAAATTGGGTCTTAGTTCACAACTTCACAATTATCTGCTACTATACCTATATTTTTGCTCCCAAAACCTTTAACAACGCCTCGGCCTTGTTCACAAATATTTTATCTTTATTTTCTTCTTCTTTAGCTTTAACAAATACTATGTATACAGTATACTACGTAATAATCTAGAAATAGTAGAAGTTGAATTACTTTTTAACAACCCTACTTTTTAAAAAACTTAGACCCCGTTTGGTACCACTTGAAAGTTGCATTGGATTAATAAGCTGAGTATACAAAATTGATGAAATACTAACCGAAGCAGTTGAATTATCTAAACATATCTGAAAATAGATTTGATAAAAATACTGTATAGAAAATAACTAAAATTGTTCTCTATAGTAATTTTAACTAATTCAGTCAGAAAAGTAACACCAACCTTACTGATTTGATTATTTCACAATTCAGTGCGAGATATCAAAAGCTGCCAAACAAGCTCTTAAACATTTTTGCAAAAAACAAGTGACCTAATTAGCAAAATCTACCTTATCTGCTACTACCTCGGTTCATCTAATATTGGTATAAGAGGAAGTGACGTGTTTAGCAAGAAAAGTAAATTTATGTATGTGGTTATTATCGAATTGATGAAATGAAAATAAAGTAAAAAGGGAAAACTGTCAAATAGGTCCTCGAACTTTCATAAAAAGGTCAATTAAGTCCTTCTATAGGAGGTTCTGTCCGGCCGTCGCGATTTGGGGCAGTTCCCGGTGGAATTTTTTGATGAAATTTTTTGAGCATCTTATTCACTAAGTCTAGTTTACTCATACCAAATTTCAGCTAAAAATTCAATAGGGGACACATTCAAATTAATTCTTGAAGATAACTGCGCATTTTTGCGTTCTCGAATTAATTTGAATGCGCTCCCGATTAAATTTTTAGCTGAAATTTGGTATGAGTAAACTAGACTTGATGAGTAAGATGCTCAAAAACTTTCATCAAAAAATTCCACCGGGAACCGCCCCAAATCGCGACGACCGGACAAAGTCTCCTATAGAAGGACTTAATTGACTTTTTTATGAAAGTTCGAGGACCTATTTGACAGTTTTCCCAAGTAAAAATGATTTTGAACCACACAAATGTTATCAAATTTGCTATGAAATAATCTTAGTTGGGAGGACCAAAAAGCAAAGATGAGACTTTCATAGCTAGACAAAGAGGGTGTTAAGCAACTAATATTGAGTACTAAATTAAAATGGTTTCAAGTGTATTTATATTACTCCGTAGTAATTTAGTTACATGGAGCCTATTTCTTAGTCCTTATTTTCAATTTATCAGACTAATCAGATACTCCGGTAACTTTTTATGAAACATGTTTTTTATTTGACATGCTAAAGTTTTATCTACTGAATTTGCAGAAAAGTACTACGGAGTATTTTAACCATTTTTCGTGAAGTATATGCTTTTGTAAGGATGTTTTTACTTGGACTGGAATTTGCTGGTATGGTCTGATCTGATCTGGTCAGGCTGAACTGGTCTGGTCTGGTCTGGTCTGGTTTCTTTGTATTTTTATAACTATCCAAGTCTGGTCTGGTCTAGGACAAATTACAGTCCAAGTAAAAACATCCTAAATAAGCACTTATAGACAATTTGATTGAAATTTGATCAAATTTAACAAAATCAACCAATTTGGTCAATTTCATTGTTAACAAATGGACTCTTGATCAAGTCTTGAGCTACAAATTTTGTGAGCAATATATTCTAGAGGTAAAGTGAGCAAGAAAAAACGGTGAAAGGAGAAGAAAGGAGATGGACTCTTCTACAACCTAAGCATGCAAGAAAAAAGTATTCTTCTTAATTACTTTTATCGTTTGCCGCTATATTTTCATTGTTCTATAAATTTTATCTTTTGGGGGGGGGGGGGGGGTGAAATACTTTTTAAACCTATTATCGTATCCGTTCATGATAATGTCAACATCCTTGATTGGGATGAGACCCAAACATGCAATCATCTTTTTGGGAAATCAACAGTGATGCAATTACACCACACGATACTTGGTCTATAATTGCTTTGCATCTTAGTATGCTCCAATTTTGTTCCTAAGCACGAGTGCTTTACCCATATGAACTATCTTGCATGAGCCAATAAAATACATACTTTGAAAATGATTTCAAATAATATGAACTATTTGAATATATAGTAATATGGGGCCATTTTTGACAAGGAATTTTGTCATTTGGAACATAAAAAAAATTATAACAAACCTTCAAATAAATGATATTTGTCAATAGGGCCACTTATTTAAAACTTTGATATTAGTTTTTGATGAATTAAATGATTGAATTTTTAGTGAAGTTTATCTATATCACTGTTGTTATATATTCAGAATAGTTGAACTATAATTTGTATTATTTAAAATTATATGCAGAGTATTTACGCACCATAAAAATATTTACATTGTATATTAGTGAATCTTATACTCCGTATTTTTCTTGATCTTTATTTACGTTACATTTCATTCATATCTCGTATGTTATCATGTCAAAGTCTTATATTAAATCGAATGTGAATCATCTATATATAAATATGTACTAGATATTTGTCACAGTGTTAATGATATTGTAGTACTTTTATATGAAATTGGGAAAATAGGGTCTAGCCCTTATACGCATTTGCATCTTTTAATTTTATTTTGAGTCCTCTTTCATGATGAAAATATTAAGTACTCTATTTTTAAGTTGATACAAATGTTAATGTCTCTAATACTAAAAACAATAATATAAAATCACTACAAAAAAATTCGGCTATAGTCACGGATTTAGTCACGGACCACAGTGTAAAAAATCCGTGACTAACTCATTTAGTCACGGATTCTGTCCGTGACTAATTCCGTGACTGTTTGGGCGTGACTAAATTTAGTCACGTCAAATTGTCCGTGACTAAATGTAGTCACGGATTAGTCACGGACCAGATCCGTGACTAATCTGTCACCGGAATAGCTGCTCCGGCACTTTAGTCACGGCTAAGATCCGTGACTACATTTTTTTAATTTTTTTTTATATTAGTCACGGACACGTCCGTGACTAAGTATTTTTTTTTAAAAAAAATCGGTCATATTAGTCACGGAAATATCCGTGACTAAGTTTTCAAATTTTTGAATTTTTCAAAAACCCGCGTTTCCTTTTTTCAATGTTTTGAAATTTCGTATTAGTCACGGTCATGAATCCGTGACTAAATTTTTTTTTTTTAAAAAAAATAAATTTTAAATTTAACAAATAATTCCGGACTAAAAAATTAGTCACGGCTCAGATCCGTGACTAAATGTTTTGTTTTTTTAAAAAAAACTATTTTTTAAAAACCAAAATTAAAACTTATTTTAATTTTTCTTAAAAAAATTGTTGTTAAAAATATTTCAATTGAACTGTTCGTAAAAAAACTATTATAAAACTGTTTAATAAAAACAGTTTTTATTAAAACACAGTTTAAACATTTTTAAAACTTTTTTTAAACTGTTTAAACACTTTCTAATAAAAAAACAGTTTAAACTTTTTAAAAACTGTTTTTTAATGTCTTTAATAAACACTTTTTTAAACTGTTTAATAAAAA